GGTAGAAATGAGATTCAGCCTAAAAGTGTAGTAGGTTTTTACTGTAGCAAATTTTCTCACTCCCACTGCATCCTTCTGTTGTATGCTGCCCTCTGTAAGTGCCATGTAATCTTAAATACTGGACCAATCCCAAATTGTTTTGCAAAGGTCACCATTGGCTCTTTCCCTTGTTGTACTTCCCAACAAATCAGTGCTGTGTGGCTTAATAATGTAATCACTGTTTTAAGCTGCATAGACAAGTTGATCCAATCTGCTACAAATATGGCAACTTTTTTTCATTACATGACGCCCCATGGAAGTGTTGTTGTTGTTATGAGTGCACTAATTCCAAAATAGGTCAATCCAGAGAAGCTGCTCTGTAGTTTTAAAAGAATAAACATGCAAAGTGTGAACATAAGGACAATTATAGTCGTTAACAGCTTTTCATTTTGGCTTTTTTAGGGGTTACAGGCAAATGCATGATTCATGTGAATTGTAAAAAGCAAAGATGTTCTATTTAATCTACTGGATTAAGTCAAAGTTAGTGCTAAGTTTAAGGCCTTTAAAATTGTAAACACAATCACAAACCAATACTGTCTCACTCTAAAAGTGTCAAGGTATACAGTTATCTCAGTGCTCTCTAGCGCCAAGTTCCAGCCTCAGGGCTTGTAGCGTCATAGCGTGCATGTCCTTTGATTGGATACACGGATAGAGAGACGTCAATGCAGACATGTTAATGTGATAAACAGAAACAAACAAAAATGCTAATATATATAGCACTAAAACTTTTCTTAGTTTTTCAGCCCTCTATGTCTGAAGGAGGTGAATATATTGTTCTGGTAGAAGGAACTCCTTCCTCAACAGTAGGGCGACAGTAGCTCAGCTGGTAGGGCATTGGCCTTTGAGCCTGAAGACCGTGGGTTTGAGCCCACCACAAGACTTTCTCCACCAACTCCCATTGATGTCTGCTGTCGTTGTGTCCTTGGCAAGACACTTAACCTCTGGGAACACCAGGTGCCACAGTGGGGCGGCTGCGGCTGTAAAGTGCCAAACTGGTCTTGTGTCCTTAGGCAAGACACTTCACCCCCATTGCCCAGAATGAGTCTGGTGTGTGTGTGAATGGTTGGTGGTGGTCGGAGGGGCTGATGGCACAGACTGTTTGCCTCGCTTCTGTCAGTGTGCCCCAGGGCAGCTGTGGCTACAGTAGTAGTTTATCACCACTGTGTTTGGAGTGCATGAATAATGTGAAGCGTCTTTGAGTGTCCAAAAAAGCGCTATATAAAACTGATGCAATATTATTATTATTGTTCAAGAAAAACAGAGACAGAGGGAATAACAATTGTCAATAAGTCAACCAGCAGAGCTAGGCTAATGCAGAAGACTCACGGCCGCATCCGGTCTCACTATCTGTAAAAAAATAGAACATTAAAACTCACACGCACTACTTATGTTGAAGTTGGACTTTCCCACATTAAAGCTGTGTTTGCATCGGACTTAACCTGTCACTTGGCGTGCGTCAAAAGCGTCAAGAGACGCGAGCGTTATGCGCGCCAAGTGTAGTAGGTGTCCAGGCGGGCAATGCGAGCTCCATGCGGGCGATGCGAGCTCCATGCGGGCGATGGGAACTCTGATGCGGGTGAGCAGGTACTCAAACTGGGCAGTTTGCATGCAGAAGCGGAACTCATCCGTACGCACCTCCTGGAGTAAATGGTGAAACTCAGCTAACACTGCAGACTCTCAAGTCTGTGGTGAACCCCGTTGTGTAGAAGCCCTACAACCATGTTGTTTGGCTTTATATAACAACTAAAGGCACGCTGCTCTCTCCACCATTGTCTCTGGACTATCGGGAAACAGAGAAGCTCCTCCAAACGGGCGTCAAGCGTGTTAGGCAAGTCAGGAGCGTCATGCACCAAAATGACAAACATTGTATGAATTCTTATATTACGGGTAAGCCCCGCCTTCCCTTCTCTTAGCTATGGCTCAAAATCCACAATGCCGTCCACTTCAACCAATCAAGTGATGCCAAGAACTGTCAATCATCGGCGCTGATGCTTGCAGCTGCGCACATGCTCAGTTGTTTGTTTTCACGGAGCCTCCGAATCAAGCCTCCATTAGGCTCTGGAACTAAATAAAAACTGAACAAAGAATTCTGAACATCCGCGCTGAGTTACCCATTTATAAACTGAACCAATTTCCATAATACGATCCTATGCAGATGTGTCCTATAATGTTCAACTAATGATAATGGCTACTTCCAGGTTTACCGTGATCGCTTTTTTGTACATTAAAAAATTATTTTTGCCATGAAAACGTTAACAAATAATTCTGAAAACCTCCGTGCATGTGTATTAATAATGTATATGTATAATGTGTTCTCCGATTAACATTTAAATGAGTTGATTGATTTTTATGAAAACGTGGGCGTTTCATAACAATCAATCAGAAAGGAAGGGGGAGGGAGCAGGTATTAGCCTGGCCTTAGCCATCCGTAAACTCAACTCAATCATCATTTCCCTGCATGTAACGTCTGGGTCTGGTGCCTGTGTTAGCGAATACAATCGGTTAAATTTAATCCGACCAATTAGCGAGCGCGGGAGGCGGGTGTTGTAGTTAGTTGTGGGTGACATCAAGAGTTTGCGTCAAACGGGCAGGTTGTTGTTTGGCAATGGCAAAAAATGCAATAGTAAAGTAATCCGGTCTGGTTCTATCAAGAAATTGAAACCGGAGCAAGAGGAATGTTTAGCAAATGTAATTGCTGGCAAAGATTGTGGCGCTACTCCCCACGGGCTCCGTTAGCGGCACAGGAGAAGGCTAGGCTAAATGCTAAATGCTAATGACTCACTCGGGCGCATTACATACATGACGTAAACTCAGATCCAATCGTTTCAATCTGCAAAAGGAGTTAATCCCTCCCACCTGTTCACGGAGCTCAATGGAGCACCTCCAGACCTTAGTACGAAATGTCATTTGTACTATGGTGTGGTACGACCAGGCTAGGCAAGTATCTGATTATTTTGTTTTTGTTCTTTACATTACGTAGGTCTTTTGAGCAAATTATTGCTTTTATTCAAAATAAATTTGTACATCCTTGAACTGAACCAACACTGGAGGAAGGGTATATACTGATGAATCAAACAGAATTTTTGCTTGCATTCTGGGTTATATATTTTAGAATACAATAAATGTATCTCAAGAAAAAAATAAATGTTTCTTGAAAAGATTAGCTTTACAATAATGAAAAGTAAGTGAATAATCTTAATTTAAATTGCTCCTTTCACAGACTGGAGTCAAAAAGTGCTTAATTATTGTGGTCATATTTCTCTCACTCCACACAGAGATGCTGGACCTATTATACATTTTTTTGTGGTAGGGGAAACTTGAAGCGTGCGAAGGAAACCTACAACACCACGGGGAGAACATGCAAACTCCACGCAGAAAGGCTTGGTGTCTTCTGGGCCTGGTGCACAAGCCCATATTAACCCCTTACTATCAATATTTGAAAGTGTTGAAAATCCTTCAAAAAGTCCCCATTTGAGTCTGCATCCCCCCTCTTGGAAAACACTGCCTGCACTATGTGGAGTGTGAGGAAAAATGCCTGCAACAATTGGAAAGCATTTTGGACTTATATATATACATATAATTAAAGATTACTTACTAATTATCTGAAAGGGGAACATGATAAAAAAGTTTGAGAAGCACTGCTCTGCACACATGTCGCAGACACAATACCCGATTGCAAAAAGTAAAGCTCAGATCGTTTTGACCCTGGCACCCATTCAGTAATTGAGGTGCTTTGCCAGTCATAGGTGGATTCTGTTTCAATGCAGAACTATTGGAACTCCTAAATGCTAGCTCCATTTTGTGGACTCTTTTATGGTGAGATTTGAACAAAAGCAAGGGCAGCTTGATGGTT